AAAAAAAAAAAAAAAAAAAAAAAAAAAAAAAAAAAAAAAAAAATTTGGCTTTCAGCTTCTAAGTAGTCCAGACTAAAAAACGGTCTAAGCGGGTTTGAACTGTGCAGTGGCAGCCCGCGATAATTAAATGGTCCTGCTGGTATTTCAACACAGGGTACTCAAACAATACAAAATCATTACATCTTAATAAGCACCATCTCCAGTAATCAGCTCAGTGTCTGTGACAGAGACCAAAAAAAGTAACAGAGGTGAAGAGGTTACCTGAATTCCCAAGAGTCAGCAACAGACCAGGACATGAATCTAAGCTGCAAGAACAACAGATCCCAGCTGCCACTTAGCAGCGCAAAGAACACATGCTCAGAAGCTAGCCAGCTCTGGACCCAGCAGCCTCTTTAGCAACAAGACAAGAAAGCCCACTTTGTAAAGTTTCAGAACTTTAGCATGTGGTTATGAAGAATAACATACCTGTGGCATTGAGAACGGTTAAGAAAAAAATAAAATAATTGAACCACAATTTCTTAAACTAAATCTTGGATGTCTGGCACTCTGAAGCACAGAATAAAGTTTAAAACTAGTACATTAGTCAAAGTGATTCAGTGGTTAAATATGCTGTAACGTATAGCAAAAACTTCAACCTATAAGGAAATGTTTATTCAGAAAGTATGAACAAACGGGAAAACACTGTTTGCAGGTAGCCTGCCCATCCAGCACATACGGCCAGAATTCACATCAGGAAAACAAGGAGAGAACTAGCTTACCATCAGGTCGTTCATCTGCAGCCTGTGTACCACACAGAACTGTTCCACTGTATGGAGGAAGCTGTATAAGGAATCGAAAAAGAAGTTTTAATTCAACAAAATGTTAAAACCCAACAACACATGATATTTCATTAAGGCTCTATTTCATTAAAACTTTTTACCATGCAACTTCTTCTCCTGATGTTACTTTTACCAGAACAACACAAGAATCAGTAAAATCTGAATTATCTTCATTTAAATTAAATGAGGAAAAAACACTTATAGGACTGCTTTCAAATATGTGTCATTATTAAACAGATCCAAAAGTGAGGCCAAAAAAAGACAAAAATCAAAATGATTTCCAACGGACATGTAGATCAGCTACACAGGATGCTCGTGACTGACCATAAACGGCACAGACGCTTTTGTTTGTGTGTCTGCATGCACTGGTAAATACGACTCTCATGGACCATCTGCACTTCTTGCTCATGATCGCCACACTGCAGCACAGCCAGCAGAGGCCAGGACCAAGTTTATGGTTAGAGAGCAGAGAAAAGCCCACCAAAAAGAAAAAGCTTGGGAATCATGGCTTCCTTTTTAACATAGTGCCTTCAATAACTGAATTAACAGCAAGTCACATTTCTTGTTTGGAGGAGAGAAAGCAAAACGGCAAGCATCTAACTTCTTTGTAGAAAGGAGGGAGGTACTATGAATACCTCAGATTCTTCTTCTTCCTAGCTATGCCATAATATTTATTTAGTAGTTAGAAATGCTTCAATTGGACGTGCTTGGGATAAAAAAGTTTAGTAAGATAAGGTAAGTGGACAGATAATTGATACCTGAAAGCAGAACAAAGGAACGACAACATCCTAGTGCAGCGTTTCTCAAAGTCTGCGTGCTGCAGCACATGCAGTTCAGTGGCCCGAGTGCCTGGACAGGGTCCAGGGGTCTGCAATGTTCAGAGGCTCCCAGGTGATTCTCACAGCCACTACTGTCTAAAAGCTGCTGCTTCCTCAGCTGATTTCGCCAATGAACTTTTAGCAAACCAATACAATAACCACGATGATAAAAGCTTTTATCTCCAAGTAACCCAGTAAATTCTCTCCTCAGAGAATTAATGACAGATAAGAAGCTAAGAAAACACAGGGCACTTCAAAAGGAACCCGACATCTTCAAGACTTGAGAGATGCGCATATTGCCACTCAGGGGTACCCTGGTTCTCCTTATGCTGACTCAAAGAAGGAAGCTCTGTATGCTGAGATGGGCTGTACTGGGCCTTGCACCTGCAGTGCAAAGACCATTCCACACACCAGCAGTTATGCTGACAGACACCCGTAGCAGAAAGGCATGTGTGTACAGTGGCCACGTGTGTCTGAGGAAGCCACAAGTCATGTTCATGCCCTCTGCAGTCACAAAAGACAGTTCAGATCACAAAATGCCTCCCTTTCTGTCAGTGATACTAGGATGCCCTCTGGTGATGGAAATCTGTACTATCCCAAGGTACAAAGTGTTCTGAATCTGTCTATATTTACACAAAATCATTGTTAATATCAAGAAAAAAAGACAGTTCAGATCACAAAATGCCTCCCTTTCTGTCAGTGATACTAGGATGCCCTCTGGTGATGGAAATCTGTACTATTCCAAGGTACAAAGTGTTCTGAATCTGTCTATATTTACACAAAATCATTGTTAATATCAAGAAACCATCTTTTTCTGAGCCAAAACAAATCAACAGTTTCATCATCCCACATATCAGAACAAAGTTCTCTTCACACTTGTATTCCATTCTGCTTGGGGAAGAGAGAAACTCTGAAGAAAATCTGCAGACCGAGAGAGTAAGCAGGCTGGGAAGACTCCCAGTTTGGAGCAGGGGTTGCAGCAGTGATCCACTTCAAACCCCACTCCAAAGCGGAGAGCTGCTGGAATACTGACAACTACCCTGCAGTTAACCTCCTCTCCAAACACTCAGCCATGGGATTGTAACAACTCCCCTAAACTCCCAAACCAGTCCTCCAAGCAACACGCAGAAGAAAAACCCCATCAATGTGGAAGAACAAGCAGACGAGGGAGGAGGACAAGCAGGTGGAGAGGACACACAGTGACACCAGGCGGCGCTGACCAAGGGCTCAGAAGTGCTGAGCACACACCCCGTTCCTCTCAACAACCTCGGGAAAGAGGTCCTGTTACTGTGAACATCTGACAGATCAGGAAGCCAGGGCTGACGTTCCAGGTCACACTGCTAGTCAGTGATACAGGAGGGATCTGGTGATAGCCCACCACTGAACTCCACGCAATACCGTCATTTTGTTAGTGTGCCTAAAACGCTTACTTTGATTTGCTAATCTTATAAAACAGCATTAATTGTGGAAATTACTAACTTCTGCAGTGAGTTCTCACACAGAAGAAATGGGGGTGTGTGTACTTCTTTTCTACTCTTCAGGCATGTGGCAAATTTCATTCAATAAACCTCCACCACACATAAGATGTCCCCTTAGTCTGTGGTAATTGGGTATAATAAACAGCAAAATAAAATAAGAANACATCTGACAGATCAGGAAGCCAGGGCTGACGTTCCAGGTCACACTGCTAGTCAGTGATACAGGAGGGATCTGGTGATAGCCCACCACTGAACTCCACGCAATACCGTCATTTTGTTAGTGTGCCTAAAACGCTTACTTTGATTTGCTAATCTTATAAAACAGCATTAATTGTGGAAATTACTAACTTCTGCAGTGAGTTCTCACACAGAAGAAATGGGGGTGTGTGTACTTCTTTTCTACTCTTTAGGCATGTGGCAAATTTCATTCAATAAACCTCCACCACACATAAGATGTCCCCTTAGTCTGTGGTAATTGGGTATAATAAACAGCAAAATAAAATAAGAATGTAAGAATGTCATGTATTAATAGTTCTTTTTTTAACTAAGTTGTACTACATTATACAAATATAATACATTTTATCCATTTACCTGTTAATAGACATTTGGGCTGTATCTAGTTTAAGGCTATTAAAAATAAATATCTTCTAGATATTTTATATTTTTTAATAAAAAGAATGTAAGAATGGTTCAAAGTTCACTTTTTAACTATACAGCTACTTATAAGAAAACAAAAATTTAAAAAAACAATCAAAGCAAAACAAAATTCCCCACACAAATGTGAACCGAGCAATGTAAAAAACTGACATCCAGTTATGTCAGAGACAAAGTTGAACCAGCCCAGTGTGAAAGTAGTGCTACAATCTTGTGAAGGCAATTCGTGGGCCACCCTCAGGAGAGAAGCTACAGTTTTAAAGTCTCCTTCAGGGGCTGCCACTGTTTGTTCTGTCCTCCATAAGAAAGACTTGTGTCACGAATCCTTCCTCTGAAGTCTCATTAAAATGCCAAATTGAGAATAACTGTCTATACCCGGCATCAGTTTCCACACTCAACACTCCCACCCACATTCTCTAACACTCATATGTCTATAGCCTGTACTAGCTATGTTGTTGTGGACCTATTTATTCAGTAATGGTTGAGGTATGTGTGCTGTTTCCAATAATGAGATTCTGCAAATTTTTAAGAATAATGATTATTTTCTTCCCTATTTTTTGATATCCACAACATGATTATGACTGGTACACAGACATGCTTATCGAATAAACTGACTGTATTTTTTTCCATTGGAGAAACTCTTTTTTTTTTTTCTTTCCTTTTTGTCTTTTTTACTGACCGGTAACGGGA